TGTGTGTGTGTGTGTGTGTGTGTGTGTGCGTGTGTGCGCGTGTGTAAAACCCAACAAAGCAGTCTGTCAGCCTGTGGCCTGCATTCAGGCTGATGTCACTGCCTCCTTCCTTCCTCACTCATGACCAAGCAACATTTTATTCTGTCGTCCATCCTTTGTAACGCGCGTGCGTGCGCTCACCCACGTGTTGGTTTTCCTTTCAGAAAACGGTGGACTGCATGACGACCATGTCTGTGCCGTCCACCCTGGTCAAATGTCTCTACCTGTTCTTCGACCTCCCGCACATGGCGGAGGCCCCCGTGGGCCCGGCCACGCCCCCGCCCCCGCCCACCTCCCCGCCGCCCTCCCAAGACAAGACGGTGGGCCCGGGCCACCCCCCTACGGAGCTGCCGCTGGCCGACCGCAGGGCGCTGCTGCAGAAAGTCTTTGTCCAGGTACAAGAGATGAGTTTTTTCAAGACAGGGTTAGGGCTCCAAGACAGGTTCAGTCTTCAAATTAGGATTTCACACTTGGATTAGGCTTTCCAGACGGCGCTTTGATTTTGTGTGGTTTTCAGATCCTGGTGAAATTATGCACCTTTGTATCTCCGGCGGAGGAGTTGGCCCAGAAGGATGACCTGCACCTGCTGTTCAGCGCCATCACGTCCTGGTGCCCGCCCCACAACCTGCCCTGGAGGAGGAGCGCCGGAGACGTGCTCACCACCATCTCGCGACACGGACTCAGCGTCAACGTGGTCAAATACATACATGGTAGGCCTGGCGCATTCATCATGGGGAAGGGGGGGAAAATAAAATCACCATGTATAATTTTATGATGAATCAACGCGATGATTCATTGTTTCGTAACAGCCCGAGCACACTGGCATGGCTTCCCTCTTCTTCGGCAGCACTTTAGACCTCACACCCGAATGAAATTGATCCCTCTTGTGTCCACAGAGAAGAAATGCCTGTCCACCTGCGTGCAAAACATGCAACAGTCTGACGATCTCTCCCCGCTGGAGATCGTGGAGATGTTTGCCGGCCTGTCCTGCTTCCTCAAGGACTCCAGCGACGTGTCGCAGACGCTGCTGGACGACTTCCGCATGTGCCAGGGTTACAACTTCCTGTGCAACCTCATGCTCAGGTATGCGTACTGTGGATGGGATTTTGCTGCGAAAACGGGGAAAAAAATAGAATTTGGACACATTTATGCCACGTTACGGGAAATTAGCAATAGGTTAATTTTTTTTCTGCAGAACATGGATACGTTAACCCTTCTGCGGCATGATAAATTAGCATTAAGATAGCAGACGTGACCTAACTTAATTCAAAATGGTTCGGTTTCCTTTAAATATTGCCGCTGTCGGGCGTTATCTTGATTGACCAAACACTGCGCTGTTCGTGATGCAGTACAAAAAAAACAAAACAAAAAAAAAACAACAATGCGCTGACTGGCTGGCCATGAGTCTGCACGGGAAGGGGGGGAAAATAAAATCACCATGTATAATTTTATGATGAATCAACGCGATGATTCATTGTTTCGTAACAGCCCGAGCACACTGGCATGGCTTCCCTCTTCTTCGGCAGCCCTTTAGAACGCACCCCCGAATGAAATTGATCCCTCTTGTGTCCACAGAGAAGAAATGCCTGTCCACCTGCGTGCAAAACATGCAACAGTCTGACGATCTCTCCCCGCTGGAGATCGTGGAGATGTTTGCCGGCCTGTCCTGCTTCCTCAAGGACTCCAGCGACGTGTCGCAGACGCTGCTGGACGACTTCCGCATGTGCCAGGGTTACAACTTCCTGTGCAACCTCATGCTCAGGTATGCGTACTGTGGATGGGATTTTGCTGAGGAATTGGAGGGGGGAATAATTTGGAGACATTGATGCCACGTTACGGGAAATTAGCAATAGGTGAGTTTTTTTTCTGTGGATAATGGATACGTTAGCCCTTCTGCGGCACGATAAATTAGCGTTAAGCTAGCAGAAGTGACCTGAGTTAATTCAAAATGGTTCGGTTTCCTTTAAATATTGCCGCTGTCGGGCGTTATCTTGATTGACCAAACACTGCGCTGTTCGTGATGCAGTACAAAAAAAACAAAAACAAAAAAAAAAAACAATGCGCTGACTGGCTGGCCATGAGTCTGCACACACACGCGCCTTCGTTGCAATCATGAGGTGACATAATCCTGCACGGTTCCCGCAGAGTGACAAAAGAGGCGGAGTTTTCACAACACTTCTCCAACACGTTCAAGTGATTTTCAAGGGTACGTTTTTGTTGTCGCGGGGTGACACCAGGCTGGAGCAGGCCAAGGAGGACGAGTCCAGGGACGCCCTGAAGGATCTGGTCAACCTGGTGACGTGTCTGACCACCTACGGCGTGACGGAGCTCAAACCCGCCGGCCTGACCACCGGAGCGCCCTTCTTGCTGCCGGGATTCGTCCTCCCGCAGCCTTCTGGAAAAGGTGAGGCTCTCGAGCCACGCCAGAGTTTCAAATTGGCGTTTTCCAACATGTGGTAGGGTTTCAGTTTCTCGTTTGAAGATCAAGCGAAGGTTTTAAATCAGAGTTTGGGTCAGTTTACTTGTTGTTGTTTTGTTGGAATGACACCTCGCATGGCGGTGTCGCGCGCAGGCCAAACGGTGCGCAACATCCAGGCCTTCTCGGTGCTGCAAAACGCCTTCCTGCAAGCCAAGAGCGGGCGTCTGGCCTGCGCGCTGCTGGACGCGGTGGGCAGCGTCTACGCCGCCGACCCGGCCAACTACTTCATCCTGGAGTCGCAGCACACGCTGTCGCAGTTCGCCGAGCGCGTGGCCCGCCTGCCCGAGGAGGCGCAGGCCAAATACTTCCAGCTGCTGGACTTTGTGGTCTTCAGCCTCAACTACGTGCCGTGCAAGGAGCTGTTCAGCGTCAGCGTGCTGCTCAAGGCCAGCGCCTCGCACGCCTGCAGCGTGACGGCCGTGCGCGCCCTCCTGAGGATGGCCCGCCACGACCCCGTCTTCGCCGACGTGCTGAGGGAGGTGGGCCTGCTGGAGGTGCTGGTCAACCTGCTGCACAAGTACGCCGCCCTCCTCAAGGAACCCGCCGCCCAGCACCAGCAGCAGCACCACAACGACCAGGGTGAGCGCAAATCTGCCCGCATTTTACACACCGCTGATGTTTTTGGCAGCCCTTTTAGATTTAGTCTCAGTTCTGATCTAATTTTACACACCGCTGATGTTTTTGGCAGCCCTTTTTAGATTTTAGTCTCAGTCCTTGTCTGTTTGGGCACAAATGCTCATTCGTTATCGTCACATTTTAGTTGTTCCTATTCCTGATCGTTTCGGTCTAGTTTTATTTGACAAAAACTCCAAAAGGTTGTCGTCTAGTTTGAATGCGTTTTAGTTAAAAAATGCCCCAGACAAGGTTTCCTTGGGGTAAATATTTGCAGATTGGTTCGCATTGTGTGGGTGGACTCAAATCAGTAAGACACGGACAAAGCTGCTTTTCCACTTGTACATGTATCGCTAATTGTGGTGTTTTGGATCTTTTTGTGTGTGTATGCAGCCGAGTGTAAGAACAACTCGGTGGCCGAAGAACAGAAACAGCTGGCCTGGCTGGTCATGGAGACGCTCACCGTGTTACTGCAGGGTTCACACACCATGAACACCAACGCAGGTGACACGTTATTATTATTTTTTGCGGGGAGGGAGGAGGGGGATAAAAAGAAACGTTTTGGGGTATTATGTCACCGTACTTAAGTTCATTTACCGAAATAGAGAGCGATCTGTAAAGTCCTCATCAAGACCTTTAATTTGAATCGTGAGTGGAGGTGGTTTGCCGCAATCTTTTTTTTTTTTTTTAAGCTTTTCACAGTCAACTTTAACTTCCCGCTTGTGCAGCCTTGTTCAGGGAGTTTGGGGGCGCGCGGTGCGTGCACAACATCGTGAAGTACCGGCAGTGTCGCGAGCACGCGCTGCTCATCATCCAGCAGCTGGTGCTGTCGCCCAGCGGCGACGACGACATGGGAACGCTGCTGGGACTCATGCACTCGGCGCCGCCCGCCGAACTGCAGCTCAAGGCCGACATACTCAGGGTAAGCCATCCAAGCCTCCATTTGACACCCCAGTTTGAAACCCGCAACCTGAGTTTGAAGCCCTAAAGCTGACTTGGAACCCTACCCTGAAACCCAAACCCTGACCTAAACCCCTACCCTCGGCTCACAACCCTACTTTGACCCCCGCCCCCCGGCCACCACACCAATACATGCTAAGATGCTGCCGTTTTTTTTTTCCGGGGTGCGGCGGTCACCTACAGGCCCTGCTGTCGGTGCTGCGCGAGAGCCACCGCACGCGAACGGTCTTCCGCAAGGTGGGCGGCTTCGTGTACGTGACGTCGCTGTTGGTGGCCATGGAGCGCTCCCTGTGTCCGGCCCAAGCGCCGCGCCCCGCCTGGCACGTCGCCAACCACCAGAACCAGAGCCAGTCCCCCATCCGGAACCAGAACCAAGTGTTCGAGCTACTGCACACCGTCTTCTGCACGCTCACCGCCGCCATGCGTTACGAGCCCGCCAACTCGCACTTCTTCCGCACCGAGATCCAGTACGAGAAGCTGGCCGACGCCGTCAGGTACTTTGGCCCGGAAAACGCACGCTTGGTGTTTTGGTTTGGCGAAATACAACTTTTTCTGCACAAATATTATACTGCAGTGGCTAAACTTTGCTTCCAATATCTACTGTTACACCGTCGTGCCAAAATCCAAACCTTTTATGCACTTTTTATCCAGACCGCTACCAGTATGTGTAATCAACTCTTGTGTACTCACCGAGACCGATCCCAAGCAGCCGATACTGCGAGTACTTTTAATACGTAACATTTCCATTAAACCAATGAGAGAACATTTTAATGGAAGGATATGGCCACGAGATATTGAAATGATTTTGGTACTGGCCCCATACCGATACCTGGTACGGGTGCCAAGCCAAACCCCGCCACCTTTTCTGACGCCGGGCCCTCCGCCAGGCTGCTGGGCTGTTTCTCCGACAACAAGAAGCTGGGCCCCACCGCCGTCTTCCCGTCCAACTCGGAGCCCTTCCAGAGGCTTCTGGAGGAGGAGGCCGCCCCCGGTGGCGACAGCGTGTGTCCCACCCTCAGACACTGCGCCAAGCTCTTCATCTTCCTGTACAAAATGGCCACAGACTCCTTTGACAGGTACGCAAGCGCGAGGCTTCCTTGGTCGTCGTCTTCTCTTCTGCGCCGCTAACTTTTCTTCTTCCTCTTCTTCCTCCTCCTCTAACCCCGTGTATCCATGTCCACCTGTCACGCTGCGCGCTTGCGTGCTCAGTCGCGCCGAACACGTTCCCCCGTGCCTGACTCACGAGACCTCGCTGCCCTCGCCCTGGGGCACGCCCGCTCTCGCCCGCAAGAGGTAGCTAGCTGCTTGGCTCTGCTGCTTTTTTTTTTCCCGCCCTCACCTTTCCTTCTCACCCCTTTCACACACCCTCAGCCACCAAGCCTTATGCACACAATTCGGACCCGACCGGTTTCCCGACTAAATGGGAAGTTTGAGCGCTTGAAACCAAAGCGAATTAGAAGAGAGTGATATGCGATTAACATTTTTAAGAAAATAGAACGGTGTTCCTTGCATGTGCAGACCCGACTAGTTTGCTGTCCTACAGCTTGAAATCAATGTGTGACAGGAAGAGGGAGATGAAGACGTAAAAGTCACAGTTGGTTGTAAATGTTGGAAATGAATTTCAGACCTGACTGATTTGCTGACTGATTGCTCAATTGATTTGGAGGGAAATGATCAGTTTGTGAAAATTGTTGGGAAATAATTCCAACCCGACCAGTTGGCCTGCCCTGACGGGTCGCCAACTAGCGTGATATCAATGTTCTCATGAAGGGAGTGAGGTTTGATGACTTTTTTATTTTTTGTATAGATGAGTGTGCCGCCTAAATAGGTTGATTTAAATAAACCATGAGATGTAAAGCAACAGAAAAGGGAAGCTAGTGATGTTTGATGACAACTTTTGAGCAAAACCAACAAACAACCACCCCAAAAAAAATAAGGAAATAACCGCAAGCCGACTTGCCCTGTTCCTCGTCAGCAGGCACGGCTACCACGGTTCGTCGGGCCCCCCGGCACCGGTCAAGCTTCTGACAGAGCTGAAACTGCACGCCTCCAACCCCGTCCATACGGCCCCCTCCTCCTCATCCTCGGGGGGCGACATGGTGGTCATCCACCCGGGTGCCGTGCTGGCCATGGTGGACCTGCTGCCCTCTGTCTGCTCCGAAAGCCAGCCTGAGGTGAGGGCGCTGCGGCCTCTGATGAATATCGCTGGACATCTTGGAAATGTTGCGAATTCAATTGACCCGACGGGTTGGCCGCCTAAACGGGCTGCCAAAGAGGGTGCTCTAGTGGCAGCATACAGAAAGCGATGTCAAGTAAGTGGAATGAGGTTGGCAGGTCTTTGCTGCCATGTGAGCGGAATGAATTCATACCAGACGAGTTTTCCGCCTAAATGGGCTTTTTAATACCTTGAAGCGAACTGAAAGAAAGTGATATTTGATGACATTTTGCCTGTCAATGTTGGAATGTATACAATGTGCCGTCGAGACCCCAGCGGATCGAAAGGCAGTGATATTTCTTGGGAATAAATTCACACCCGACTAGGTTTCCGCCTCGATGGGCGGGAGGCCAGAGGGTAGCCCAATCGCTCTCGTAAGGTGAAGGGAGTGTGTAACCCGGCGAGGTTGGCGCCTCACCGACTTTGCTCGCTCGCGTACATCTTGAGCTCATGCCCGACGAGTGACGCCAGTCCCCGACTTTGCCCTGGCAGCACGCGTTGGACCTCCAGCTGGCGGTGGCCAACATCCTTCAGCTGCTGGTGAACAGCGAGCGCAACCAGCAGGTGCTATGCGAGGCGTCTCTGCCCCAGCGCCTGCTGCAGCGCTGCAGCCAGGCGCTGGGCGACGAGGACCACCCGCTGCACCCGCCGCTGCAGCGCATGTTCGAGAGGTTGGCCTCGCAGGCGCTGCAGCCCCTAGCGCTCAGGTACACCCCTGCATCGCCACACCTGGCTTATTCCACCTCTTGTTACGTGCGTGCTACTCCACCTGGCCAGTCACATGGGTTAGTTCCATGTCACTTTCATCCGTGTGTGTCAATACATACGTCACTACATTTTTGGGTTAGCATTTTTCACTGCTACATATGCATTACTACATGTATGTTATCACATACTTGCGGTGATGCAAACATGACCGCCGACGCCGTGCTCGTTTCAGTTCGTTTCGTTTTTTTTTTTTAATGCATTTACATTTTGTTTTGTTCACAATTTCGTTTGTTTCTAATGACTCATGAAGTATTGAAATTTTTGAAGAATTAGCATGATGAATCACCGCCAACGTTATTGTCAGAAACAAAAAATTAAAACTTGGGAAAAAAATTTTATTCACGAAAGAAACTAAAACCGAAATGCTTTCAAAAAATGCCACATCTTACGTTTATGCATGTTTAAGCATAATTATAGCCAACATGTCCTTTGTTTTTATCAATCGTCAGTTGATCCCATACTTGAGCTTTTGAAATTTTGAGTGAAATTTAATTATTTATTGCGTATTGCTCGACCGCCATACAAATGAAGGAAGTCAAACGTCGTGGCAGAGTTGCACTTTACTTTATTGCACTGCACTTCATGATCTGAAAACTATTCGAACCCTGATGACTGCCCAGAGTGGTACAGAAACGCCGATCCCAAGGAGGGGGTGAATGCTGACTTTTTATTGTTTGTGTGTGTGTGTGTGTGTGTGTGTTTTGGGCAGGGAGTTCCTGCGTCTGGGCAACCCGCTCAACTGCGGCGCCTGGGACAAGAAGCTGCTCAAGCAGTACCGCGTACACAAGCCCAGCTCGCTCAGCTACGACGGCGACGCGCGAGGTGAGACTCCCGCAGGCCGGTCGAAGTGGGCTCCCTGCCGCCCGCGTTAAGTCAAAGGCAGACGCTAACGCTAACAGCTGTTGACGTGGCTCATTACGGAGGCAGCGCGTCTTAATGAGTTTGCGGACGACGGTAATTTGCCGCCGCTGAGCAGAGATTAAAAATTGTGCTAATTAGCACTCATTAGCACAAGCGAGGTTGCAGTTTGTGGTGCCAGATTGCAACCGAAAGGTGGCATAGAAATGACTGAAAAGTGGCATAATATATTGATTCCCAGTTTATGTTGTTCATAAAAAACTGACCAATATGGATTGTTTGTGGCCAATTCTGATATTTGGCAATAGCGCTAAACGATTATTGGACTGATGATAAAATGATCATTTATTTTTTTGGTCCCGTCATGTTTATAACAATAAAGACATGATCAACGGTTTTACAATATTTTGTTCTATACCCTACAACAGAGGAATTTATCATTTTTTTTATTATTAATTAATGAATTTCTGTTGGCAATTTTTTTGGGGGGGGTATATTTGTTTGAATGTTTGTCTTAAATTTTAACGTATGTGTATCAGGGGGTGTCAATAAGTAGATGATATTAATGTATTTATTAATTGATGTATAAAATAATCAAGCTAATGCTGGCCAATCAATTAATCAGTCAGTGAATAAGATTACTTTTTTCTCTCTCTTTTCTTTTTTTTTTCCGAAATTGAATTACTGACAAAAGTTTTTTTTTTTTTTTTTTTTTTTTAAATTTTTTACCCAAAACAGGCAGCATGACGACGTCGATGGAGGGCTTCGGCGCCGACAGCGTGTTCGCCACGCCGGCCGAGGACGGCGACCAGTACCGCATCAGCCGCAGCCTGGTGCGCTCGGCCGAGGCCAGCGCCGTGCCGCTCACCCGCGTCAAGTGTCTCGTCTCCATGACAACGCCGCACGACATCCGCCTGCACGGCTCCGCCGACACACCCGCTTACGTCGAGTTCGACGCCTCGCTCGAGGGATTCGGGTACGTGCACGCACATACGCACGCCACGCCTCGTTAGCACCGGAAGCTCACGTAAAGCAAACCGTCGAACGCAACGTTACGACTTGTGTGGATGTGTGGTTCTGCTTTCTGTTGGGGTTTTTTTTCCTACACGTTTTTTTGTTTGTTTTTGTGTTTTTTCTTAGTCTTTTTTTTTTTTACTGCCGTGCGCGGGTGCGTCAGTGTTTTCATAGCCACCGAATGCAAGGCAACGTTTGGAGCAGCACCGGGGACACGACAGCGCTGGCCCACTTTTACGCGCACAAAGCCCTTCCCGCTCTCCCATCTGGCAGCATGAAATATTGATGCTCTCCTCCGCTATTAGCGGGAGCGCTGCTTTTCTTTTTTTCTTTTGTTGTTCCAGTTGCTCGATTGACGCCTTTTCGCTTGCGTGCGCGTGCAGGTGTTTGTTCCTGCCCAGCCTGGCTCCCCACAACGCGCCCGGCAACAACAGCAACTCGTCATGCGTCGGCGACGGCGACGTCATCAGCGGCATGGGGACAGGTACGGCCCGGCGCGCCTTGATGACATCACGGGCCGACGACCGCAATACACACACAGCTGCTCCTTCATCCCTTTAGTGGTCCCGACATCACCTCCTCTGGCTTTTGTCCTTTTGGAATCGTTTCCATTTTTCTTCTCTCCTTCATTCTGGCCTCCATCTTGCCCTCCATTTTCTCTCCTTCTTCATCCCTGTATCTTCTCTTTCCCTCTGTAATGTTGTCCTCCTGCCTTCTCTCCTCCTTTTCTCGTCCATCTTCTCTCCTTCATAATCGCCTCCCTCTTCTGCACTCGTCCTCCTTCTTCTCCCCCTCTTTCAAGGTGTCCTCAATCTCGTCTTCTTCATCAGCTCAGCAAACTTTGCTCCATCTTTCCCTCTACCGCCCTCCATCCATCATCATTTTCCCGCTTCTCTGCTTCATCAACTTTTCCTGTTTGCCGCCCATCTTCACTCCGTCGTCTTTTCCGTCTCATCCTCTTCTCTTCTCTCCTTCATAATGGCCTCGATTTTCTCCCCTCCATGTTATTCCCTTCTTCATCACCTCTGTCCTATTTCCTCTCTTTTCTCCATCCTCCTGTTCCATTTCCCTCATGCGAGACACTTTTTCTTACCCTAATTCTCAGAAAAACAAAAAAACGAGTACCTGGGATTGGATGCGAGGATTTTGAAAAGATGTCCAAATATATCTTTGGGAGTGAATGAGTTATGAGTGTGCAGCTTTGGCGGAGTGCTGACGAGAAGCTTTTTCTTTTGCGTGTCTGCCTTCAGGAGAGCGGCTGTTCCCCCCTCCGTCGGGCCTGAGCTACTCCAGCTGGTTCTGCGTGGAGCGCTTCAGCGCACCGCCGCAGAACCACCCGGTGCGCCTGCTGACGGTGGTGCGCCGGGCCACGTCGTCGGAGCAGCACTACGTGTGCCTGGCCGTGGTGCTGTCGGCCAAAGATCGCTCGCTCACCGTCTCCACCAAGGAGGAGCTGCTGCAGACCTACTGTGAGGCCTTCACTTTAAACTTTTATGAATCGTTTTGACATTTTTTTTGAAAAGTTGATTTAATTCCATGTCAGGGATGTAATGGGATAGGTATTCATTTTAAATTGTGTTTAATAATAATGCTGAGTGAAGTCACCGTGTCCATGTCTTGCTGTTTTTTCCGGGCTTCGCCAGCGGACGAGTCGAGCGAAGAAGCGTCTTTCTACGAGATCCTTCCCTGCTGCGCCCGCTTCCGCTGCGGTGAGCTGATCGACGAGGGCCAGTGGCACCACCTGGTGTTGGTCATGAGCAAGGGCATGCTGAAGAACAGCATGGCTTCGCTCTACCTGGACGGGCAGCTCGTCAACACTGTCAAGGTACGCGCCCCGCCCCAAAGAGCCTTTGTCAAAGGTTGACCGCCGTGGACAGGATGTGCCTTTTGTTGTCTCCCGGACAAACGGCGAGCATCCGCCTCCTGTCGGGAAAAAACTGATAAGAGCAACTTGCTGACAACCCATTTTTTTTATGCCTTGTCACGGAAAATTCCATCCAGTTCATTTTTTAATTTACAGAACTGAAGTGCCATCATGAATGAAGCACTTGCTGAAATCCTGCTTTTTACGCTTACAGAATGTTCAATTTAGAATGATTACTGATTTCGAGACGATGACGATGTATGATCTGTGTTTGTGTCACACTCGTGACGGTTATGTTGCAGCTCCACTACGTGCACAGCGTGCCGGGGGGCTCGGGCTCGGCCAACCCCCCCGTGTCCAGCACCGTTTACGGCTACGTGGGCACGCCGCCCGCCCAGCGCCAGCTGTCGGGCCTGGTGTGGCGTCTTGGGCCGTGCCACTTCCTGGAGGAGGCGCTGCCCGCCGCCAGCGCGGCCGCCATCTTTGAGTTGGGCCCCACCAACGTGGGCAGCCTGCAAGCCGTCTACCTGCCCTGTGAGTGCCGTTCCCAACCCCTGCCATCAGATTAGCCCCCTTTTCCTTGACGGTCTCCCACGCCCCGCGTAGGTAAGGAGTCCAAGGCGGAGGTGGCGCCGCCCGCCCCGGTGGCACTGGTGCCCGAGGAGAAGGTGTCATTCAGCCTATTCGCCGTCTCTGTTTCCACGCTGACCGTGGCCAAGATCAGGAAGGTCTACAACAAGCTGGATAGCAAGGCCATCGCGAAGCAGGTGACGCTCGCGACTCGCCAGCAAACTGCGTTTCTGATTTATAGACTATTCGTCTACACTGGTAGCACTTCTGGTGCTTCTTCTCCTTCCTGTAGCTGGCCGTGTCCTCACACGAAAACGCCACGCCGGTCAAGCTGATCCACAACGCGGCCGGCCACCTCAACGGACCCGCCCGCACCATCGGCGCCGCTGTCATTGGCTATTTGGGTAGGCCAACTGAACTCATGAAACTTGCGACGCTAACAAAGCGAATGACGCAATCAGTGCTAATGAAGCTTACAGGCTTTTTTTAAGCCGAGGTAACAAGCTAACAAGCTTTTGGTTGTGGTAACTTTTACGGTCTTTTTTTTTTTTCCCAGGGGTGCGCGCCTTCTCGCCCAAGCCGGTCGCCACCAACCTGCAGTATGTGGGCGGGGCGGCAGCCATCTTGGGTCTGGTCGCCATGGCGTCGGACGTGGAGGGTCTGTACGCCGCCGTCAAGGCGCTGGTCTGCGTGGTCAAGAGCAACCCGCTGGCCAGCAAGGAGATGGAGCGCATCAAGGGATACCAGGTTGGGCCCGCAGCGCCATCAAACTTCTGATCTTATCGCTGATTGAGTACTTTTGTTTTTTTCTTCTCAAACTCGCTGATTGGGTAAAGTCTAGTAGTGACCGATGCTCCGCAAGACACATCAGTCATGGCTAGACTTTTGGTACAGAGAAGCTAGCCGATTAAGAACGAACGCAGTGTAGTGACTGATGGTCTCTCTTTTTTTTTTTTTTTTGCAGCTACTGGCCATGCTGCTAAAGAAGAAGCGTTCGCTGCTCAACAGCCACATCCTGCACCTCACCTTCTCCCTGGTGGGCACGGTGGACAGCGGGCACGAGACCTCCATCATTCCCAACTCCACCGCCTTCCAGGACCTCCTCTGCGACTTTGAGGTCAACCCCCCAAAAGACACGCAACTTTTCAAAAATGTTGTCAGAATAATTTTGCAGGCATCAACTGCTAGAGAATAATTTGAATGGTTCGAAACAAACCTTACAATGAGAGCAGTATTTTTATTTGTTTATTCCCCCACCCCCAAATAAATAGTTGTTTTTGTCTTGTCTTGTTCATATGCTAATTTGCACAGCAGTATTTCTAGTATAATCTAAGATTAGTAAAAGCGGTGATATATAATTCAACATAAACTAATGTATGTTATGCGTCATGTGTTTTTTCTGCAGGTCTGGCTGCACGCCCCTTACGAGCTTCACCTTTCTCTCTTTGAGCATTTCATCGAGCTTCTGACCGAGTCCAGGTGGGTCTCCCTTCCACGATCGCATGCCGTCTGCGTTTCTGTTCTTGATTGGAGCGCCATCCGCTCGCAGCGAGGCAGCCAAGAACGCCAGGCTGCTGCGCGAGTTCCAGCTGGTGCCCAGGCTGCTGCTGACGCTGCGCGACGCGTCGCTGTCGCAGCCCACCGTGGCCGCCATCAGCAACGTGCTCAGCCTGCTGCTGCAGGGATTCCCCAACCCCTACGACCTGCTCAGGTCAGACCCGCGTTTGGACACCGACTCAATTGTCATTCAGAACATTTTGTTTCATTTTTATGTATTTTTAAAAGATGATTTGTAAAGATCTAAAAATATTATAAAAACACAAATTAAAACTCTTCAAACAATAATATATTTAATTAATTCTTGTAATTTATTGTTTAGATTAAAAAAAATCAGAAAGCTCTGAAGATTTTTTTTAAAATGCAAAAAAAAAAAACAAATGAAAAAAATGTAACTTATAAAATCAAATATAAAAAGGAAAAATAAAAGGAGTCTGGAAAAAAATCAAATAAAACAAGACCTGGATCAACACTATAAAATACTTTTCATATGTTTTGTCTTAAATAAAAAGTAAAACAAATAAAAATAAATGAATTAAAAAAAAATAAAGTTACAAAAGCAGAAAAATGAAAAACAACATTAAAAGCAGCAATAACTTTGGAGATTTTACTTTTCAATAAGAATCATTAAAAAGCTCTAAAATATTAATGTCTTTAAAAAAAAAAAAAATCAAAATGTCTTACATGTTTAAAAAAAAAATGTCAAGAAATGATCCATTAGCTGGGCATCCTGTTAAGCCAAGAACCCAACGTTGGCCATATCACCCTTCCAAAGACATTGTGCGTTTTCCGTGGCAGGTTCGGTCAGTTCCTCTCGTCCACACTGCCCACGTTCGCCGTGTGCGAGAAGTTTGTGGTGATGGAGATCAGCAACGAGGAGAAGACGGACGCGGGTGCCGAGGACGATTTTGGCGGCCTGCTTTCGGCCAACCTCATCCTGCTGCGCAACAGGCTGCTGGACAACCTGCTCAGGCTGCTCTTCACGACCAAGGACAAGACGGCCGTCAACGCGCAGTAAGAGCATTCGCGACGTGCACGGCCAGAAGGAACAAGACTCGCCGCACCCAAAGAGATCAAATGCAATTTGTTCTCACTATGATCATCCCATCGTAGAACTGGGTTCATTTCTCACCACTTCCGATCCGATTCACTCCACTTTGAATGCAGTTTGACTCACTCGGGCTCTTATACGGTCGACCGCAATGATGTGACACAATAAAATCGTGAGAATGTCATATCGGCTAAATCGACCGAGAATTATTTTGAGTAATTTTTTCTTGCTACTGTAGTTTGGAAAAAAATCACCCCCGGGGCCAGTTTAGTAGCGGGGCTCTGTAACCATCCTTATGCTTGAATACTTTGGATGTTGCCTGTGCGTTCCCCGCTAGCCGCAACATCACGAGCAACTCAACGCTAAATCGATGGAGAATTATTTTGAGTAATTTTTTATTGCTACTGTAGTTTGGAAAAAAATCACCCCCGGGCCCAGTTTAGTAGCGGGGCTCTGTAACCATCCTTTTATGCTTGAATACTTTGGATGTTGCCTGTGCGGTGCCCGCTAGCCCTCTCCGGTTACGATACCCGAATTAAATCTGCAGTCCCAGTTCCCTACAAGTGCAATACAGTTGACGACAATTGTGATGTGATACGAGCCATCAAATTCCGATGGCGGCATGGTAGGATTCACCTCAATCGCTATTTGATGCAATACGGTTGCAGTTAACTCCAATAGGATTTGGTACGATTGACTTGAGTTCCATTGCGATCGGGAATGTGATTCATTCCGGTGACTCCATTTGGGGGTGGAAAAAAAAAAAAACACG